GCTGAATAGTTGTAGCAATGTCATTTTGAAAGATACTAAGAATTTACTACCTACACCCTCGTAAACAAGTCGAGTCAAATGCGAGTCGGGGCCTATTTATTACCCGCATGAGTGGAGAACAAAAAAAAATGTAGCGGGGACTTACCATTATTAGCTGTATTGGTCGTAGCAGGTAGCGGATTACGTAGTTTACATGCGGATAGATCCAATGAGAGGGTGCCCCGTAGGGCTTGAAATTCGCCTTTCTGATCGAGGGCCAGCGATCCGCCGAGGGCCTGGAACTCGCCCTTTTCGCCATCCATGACTCAGCCAGCCAGCTCCACGGTCGCACACTGAATCACTCGGCCGCTTGTCCGCGCGTTTCTCTTTCGCTCCTCTCTCTCTCTTCGTTTCTCGCTCTGTAACAGCGCACATATCGAATCGATGAGTGGGCTACGCGTCGCGACGTCACGTCGCACGACGATGAAGCGATCGACGCGACACGGCGCGACGTGGCGGCTACCCAGCATTTGCTCGCGTCATCACATTCACACAGCAACACAATAATCGCATTCACTATGCAGCACGCACATTTCGATGGAGAACGCCGCTGAATCTCAGCACATGCCGCCTGCTGACGTCTCAGAGATGTAAATGACATTTTAGAAGCGATTTCATAATTCGAAAAAGATTCGCAAAATTATTGCTTCATCTCGCAACATTCAAGCAAAACCATCACACTCAAAACAAATCTTGCGCCAAAAAAGAAAAGACTTATACCCAAAGCTAAAATGCGTGAGCTAGATATCAAACATGAGTGAGAAAAGCTCTTATAATCACTACTCCTACAGCGTCTGTGTGATTATGTTGCCAGGGAACGTTGCTGTGGAAAAAAAAGACCCTCAGCGTCACGGATATGCCCTCATCAATGATGATGTTGAAAAAAAGCATAAAATCTTCATTTCCTACATGCTCTTCATTCTTATGCCTTCAAATTTAGTTTTATCGCAGTCTACTAAACTGTTTAGAGATGACATACATGCTGCTGGAATCAACTGTTGCTTTAAACCTTTAGGGAACGTAGAACGATAGCGTTGCAATTATTTCGCTGTGCGAACGAAGTGCTGAGTTTGACAGAAAGGTAGATTTCGACTGTGAAGCAATTTGTCGAGGAAATTTAATAATTCAAAGTAACTTTTACCAAAAAAATTGTCATCAGCCCTTACTCACATAGCCTTAGCCTATGTCTACATTGTTACACTACTTTTATAGCGAACCTGGGATCACTAGAGAAAGAAGTTAACGATTCTGGATAATTGATATTATTCAGCTTGTTAATATTCATCACTACTGCTTTTCTTTTTGTTTTTTTCTTTTCTTGAAAAGCGTGAAAGCTGGTGGTTCCTTTATAGCCCACATTTTAGAATGCAATATCTTTCTCCTAAATGTTAACGCTCTTCATGTGGGTTAAGGAATAAAGTCTGGTGATGTTCATCAAAAGAAACAAGAAAGTTGCTTGTCCTCAGCGAATTCTGTATTTTTTGTGAATTCTCGAAAATGCCTATGAAGATGATGTTTAGTCAGATCCGGTTTTGCCACAGATTAGCAGAACAAACATCGAGCAAATAAATACTTTGCGTAGATTTTTCTTTCAAAAAGAATTGTTTAGGAGGAGATATCAGAACTTTAAAAACGCCTCAGAATTAGCGCGATCGCTAGAGGATCTCCAGATGTTTCAATTTTTAGTTAAGCGGCGAACTATGCTGGAACTGTTGCCATTGGACATCTAAGTTCAAGGAAAAGGAAAACAACTTTTAAATTTTTGAACGGATCCCATTCAGAGGTTTGTAAATCACTCTTGACCTTTGTGCACAGTTGCTAACCTTTCCGATTTTATTATGGTTTCACGCTTGAACCAGTCCAGGAAGGTTTT